GCCTTCGGAAGTGCTTATGGACTCGACGCGATATTTCTATTTCAACAAAGATCCGCGTGTACCGTACCGTGCATCTGTACGGTTTTTTCTCCTATACGGATGTGAATGTTGGGCTATGCGCATGGAAGATGAACGGAAGCTTGAATTTTTTTGACAGCTACTGCTTGAGGACCATCCTTCGAGTGAAGTACACCGACTTCGTCTCAGATGAGGCAATTCGCACTCGCCGCGACAAAATCTCAGAGTCAGAGATGGACAGCTTTAAGTGTGGCCTCAAACATTTTCATACCTAAGTTAGGTTATTGAGGGAAAAGGGTTTTCGTCCTTCAGCTCCCTATCTGTTTTTTGTTTGACTCAGAAGCGAGACAACAGAAACGGCTGGGACACACTACCATAGCCTTCTACAAGGGACTTCTATGGACTTATTCGAAAACAGCAGTGAAATCAGGAATAGACAACTGTCTTCTGTTGAAAACGGTTTTTGATCTGGAAGTCGTCTCACGGCCAGGGTGGATATCGCGAGCAAGTTGCTAACTCGACAACACAAGGATCTCCAAATCACAAGTCAGGGAAGACGAAATAAATTGGAACAACTTTACTTAGCTCAAGTAGCTTTACAGCAGCTGCTGCAAGCGCCACGTACAGAAGGCAATCGAGTCGGTGGAAAAGTGAGGATGTGTCAAGTTTTGGCTGTGGGATGATCGCCCAGTCGGCTGCCGCCAATCAAACGAAACGGAAGTATCGATTATGTTCGAGCGTACACGCGATGAGTCGACAGCGAGCATGCGAAAGGACAACAGCGCGCAGCGAGGGATGCTTGGTGAACGAAAGCAGCGTGAGTCAGCGCAGTTCAGCCGGACGACAGACTCCTACCTGGAGTCAAGAGAGCCTCAGCTCGCGATAAATTCGATCTTTTTGCTTCTCTGTGAATCTGTGGCTCGGCAAATATGTTCAAAGATCTTCGAGTTCTTTGCAACTAAGTTGGCGGATACACAGATTCGGAATTTCGCCTTGTCACTTTTGTTAAAAAAAAAAGAAGCAAAACGGCACTGCTCCACTACCGGCGGAAAGACCCAAAGGAAGAAATCCACTAAAATGCCCCTTCAAGCTACCTAGATATAAGACCAGAATTTAAACACGTGTGGTTATCTGACTACGCGGTAGTTTGGAGCTTAGGTCCCTGGCAATGCGGATTTAAGGTACACCGTTAGCCTTTTAATTGTCAGCCGATGTTTACACTGGCTAGGTGCGTGGGTGTAACTCTGGTGGGGTCGTTCGCGCATAGGACCCTTTCCACGTCTGCGTCAGAGAGCCGAGCGTCATCAGTTTAAAACTTGGCACTACTGGCTTGCGAACATACAATCCTCGAAACGAAATGATTTACGGGGACAGCTTGAGATTAAGGAATGGTGAGTGGTCCCAAGGCACGGGGGACTGTTCGGCTAGCTTACGCCGTGCAACAAGTTAGATGCCGAATGCAACCCCATTCAAATCGGTCGTCGAACTCGTCCTCCACAGTGACACCAAGAAAAAACGTAGACGAAAAGCGCACTGGGTGCGTGGGTAATCGTGCCAATTGCAGTCCAATTAAAAAGGCGCCTGGTTCATTCTCAAGTGTAGCGCGAGTGCAACGCCAAGTCTGTTGCGGTGTTGTCATACACGCCAGTCGTAGGCGGTAAACAACCCCGAAACTGTAACTGCCCGTGCGCTTGACCAGGCCTCTGATGAATGAATGAAGGCAGTAGACTAGGTAGAGAGAGAGGAGGTGCATTCTAAGTAACGCTGACAATGCGTAAGTTTCTGCGACCAGGATGGTTCCCATACTTCGCAATTGGTCCACTGAAGATGGTCTGGAAGCATTGGCGACCGCGGACACCACAAGATGTGTCGAATTCCGTAATTCTCGAAAATGCAAGGGTAAAGTACCACCTAGATGCCTGCGGCCTACGTATGACGACGGATTCGTGTGAGACCTTATCGCACGACGGTAAATATTTCTCACGTTGTAATATTGCCACCCCTTATGATTCTTCTATAAACAACCGATCTGTCGAATCGGTATCAAATTTAACTGCCGCTTTATCACCTAACTCTAGATTTCTCTCATTTCACGATACACCGTCCATTACGGCAGTTAAACTATCCGCCAATCGTAACTTTGCGGGAAGCACACAGTTAGGTTAAAAGGCGGATTTAATTTTTTTCCGAATAGCCAAGGCATCACATTCTTACGTTCAAACAGCTGTTCATGGGATAAAAAGGTCACGAAACAATACGCAGTAATAGACGTGGATGTGCCGACTTGAACCAGGGAGTTCGTTTACAGTCTTGATCAAAAGCTGGTGGGCTCCATCGATTTTTAATCTCAAGTACGACGGCTGACCGTCAACTGACCCCCATGCAACCGATGTTCACTTAGCCCATTTTGTAAACTCGATTGGCACACTATGTCTTCTAGAGGGAGGGAGAAACAGTAATATATCCCGACATAGACCATGACAAGAGAGTCGGACATTTTCATAGGCTCAGGTGATAATTTTTAATACATACGACACGGGCTGGTGTCCACTTTCAGTCGTCAGGAAAGACTTTATTCTTCTTCAGGTTCCACAACGTGCAGGTTACAAGAGCGGAACAAGAAATGAGCACTTAGTGCCGAGAACCCTAGTAATAGGTGAGTTCTAGGATTATGGTACAAAGAAGAACATGCGATCACCGGAATGACAGTAGATAGTATGCTGAATTCTCGCTAGTTAAGTCTGTACAAAGACAAGATATGATCTCTTTTCAGCGAAATGACAAAAAATAACTAATACCACGAGGATGAAGATCGTGATGCAAGGGGAAAAAACAAAAAAGAAAGATAATTTAAAAAGAATCGGTTGCCATTTTTAACAAA